TTTCGAGTCAATCAGAGCTTTCAAAGGAAAGATGAAACCCTCGGATGGCAATTCCAACCTCTTTGTTCTTTGGATTGTCAGTGCACCCCAGTTGACATGATAATCTGCGGCTTCCAACTTGGCAACTAAGTATTCACCCTTCCAATCATGACCTGGTTGGATGTAATACCCAAGGAAAATTCCTTCATTTGCTGTTGGGGAGAGCTTACCTGATGTGTTATCCAACCTCTTGGGGTTATTCCAGAATAACACTTTGGCACCAAATGGAATGTGCATTGCAGGGAACTCTTCACCAAACCTGAGTTGCCATGGGGATTCACTGCCGTCAAGCTGGGGGCTTGCATTGATCGCGGTCGCATGATGCTGCATGGCCAATGGCCACATCTTCAAAGGAAGTCCTGATTGCAACAAGTTGCTCCGGGCACCTTCCAACATCTGACGAACTTCGCGCTCAGCAAAAGACTTTGATGAATCTACATATTCAATGGAAGTTTGGTGTCTGTAACCCAAATCCTTGATGGCCCTGATCAATTCTGGGGAATTGTCAGTGTACACAACTTGAACATCATCCTTTGATCCAATGAAGTGATTCAAACCATCAACACAGCTTTGTGAGTCCTTGGACTGGCTAGGGTAGACATACCGATATTGGGTGTGCAGATCTTTCAACACCAATGCAACTTGCTCCCCCCTGAAACCCTCTTCTACGTTTTTCTTGATGATGACATGATCCCCAATGACATGGTCACCGAACACTTCGGTTTCGATTCTCTTCTGACCACCTTTCTTTCGTGCCTGAGGTGCCATCATCCTTGCTCGTTGGCAGGTTCTGCAAAAGGGGTTCTTGGGGAAATGCGTGTACTGATGTTGGGTACTTGCAGCTTCAGCCAATAGATCCTCAGTCTTGCGGCTTCGGATGTACTCCTGCTGAGCGTCATCCTCCACATGCTCATCCAATTGCTCTTCATCTTGGGCTTCGTCCCGTTTGGCTTTTGAGCTCGACCGTGAGGTCGGCATTGCAAACAACTTTCTGAGGTGCTTATCCTTTTGAAATTGATCTTTGGGATAAACCTTGCAACTATCATCCAAAACTGGGACATGACCTTCGATCTTGAGCTGGACGACCTTGTCATCTGGACGGACTAGGATTGGTTTGCCATTGGCAGGCCATACGAAACTGTAACCCTGATCTACACATCTCGTTCCTACGGAGAGCACAGCTGGGGTATGATCAAGTACATACGGATGCACGGGATCTGGCAATGCGGACAACTTGACATCAGCAACCTCGTTTGCCTCGGTCGAACCATTGGCTGTGACTAAGGAAATCGGATGCTCGGCTGCACGGCAGTTCTTGGCACTAACATCCCTCAGCATTCCTTTGGACACAAGATCGGATTCACTACCTGAGTCGACAAGCCAACTAACACCGGCCTTTGGCGCGGCTGTGGCAATTGACGGGAATCGACCAATGTCTCTAAGGGCTTTGGGACCGCTGATGAACCTGCACTCTTTGCATGTGATGTCGCGTGTGTCCTCATTCCAACAACAAAACCCACAACTAGGTGCAACATCTGAATCATGAAGTTTCACAGTTTCTTGAAGCTGTCTTGCACGAACCTGAGCCTCATGTTGTTCAACCTTGGATGAAACCGGAACATCTTCAGCTGTCTTGTACACCTCAGTGAACTCTCTTGGACGGTGCTTGACTGGGACTTGACGACCAACTGCTTTCACCTCGATCACATGTGGGGCCTTTCGGAATCTAAGGCGCTTCATGCTGACACTTGACTCGTCGGAGCACGAAGTTGCCTTCGGCTGTTTTCGCACGATGCATGCAAACTTCTGGATCAGGCATGGAGCGGCTGTAGAATCCTTGCTCTTCTTTTTGGGAGCGGGTGAATTAGCCCTTTTGGTGTCTTTGGTGGCGGCAGCAGCTTTGTCATCATGCTTATAAAAACATTTGTCACCACGTCTGCACTTTCCCTGGGCATGATAGATACATGGGGTTTTAGCCATTTCTTCCTTGGACATTTTCTTCCCCTTATCATCTTTGTTGCCCCTTGATGGTGAACGTGTTTTGGTTCTTCTGGGTGATTGAGTTCGAGATTTGTCATCCTTGACATGCTTAAATGGACATTTCTTCCCCTTATCACAGGTACCCTTTTGGAACTTATAGCAAATCTTGTCACCTTTGCCACCTCGTTCCTGCGATCTACCACGACTTGGGGAGCCCTTTCGGCCACCGCGACCATCGCCTTTGGCAGGTGCGGCCTTTGTGTCCTTAATCCCAGCCTTGTTCTTCTCCGCGATGCGGTTCCTGTTCTCCCTCAATCGTTCGCGATCGATCAAGTTCTTCATGGATTGGTGAAGAAAACTATAAGACTTTTCATGGGATTTCTCATGAGCACAGTCAAACATCTCAATGTCATACTTCAGCAACTGGCTTGGTCGGATCTGCCTTAACAAGATGTCCCTTAACACAGCATCATCGGGGGTGACAGCCATGCCAGCTAGGGTAGCATCCCATTTGTTGATGAATCTTCGGAGATCCTGGACAGTATCGCCTACTTTGACAACACCCAAAAGATCTTCTACTCTGTAAAGGCTACCTGCTTCTTCTGATGTCTTGAAGTAGTCCTCAAACATGAGCAGAACATACCTTCCCCTGACCTGGATGCCTTTTCGGGATTGCTGCTCCTTGAAATTCAAGATCCTAGTTGCGAGGTCCCCTCCGGCTGAGCGCGTGAGCGCTGCTGATAACTTTGTATCCAGCGTGAGGAACTTTCCAGGATCTTGGAGTTTCTTCTCCAACTGCTCTCTGGTGCACTCTTGATCGTACACCTCATTGAGCCAGAGCCACGCCTCATCCGGGCGATCTGAACAGCTTTTCACTTCATCCCTGACATGATTCTTCCAAGTCCTATACGACTCCGGAGCGGGCATGTTGTTCAGCTTGATGAGTTCGGCCTCCTTAGTTTTTGGCTTATCCTTTTCTTCCCTTTGGGTTAAGGCTTTCACCAATTCAATAAGATCTGAGGGACCCATAACTTGCTGTTGCTTGGTTACGCTCTTGGGGGAGTCATTTGGGGGAGTTTTGATAGCTTCAGTGGGAGTGAAAAACCCTGACTGCGTTGGCAATTGAGGCTGGTCGTTGCCGACAGCCGGCTTTTGCTTGGGACTGCCACCTTTGAGCAGCTCATCCAACTTGGCCTTTGCTTCTTGCGCCAACACTGCAGGCGTCTTCAACTCATGAATCGGCTCGTCGCTGCCTTTGGCAGCCTGTGCATCGGATGCTTTGGGAGTGGCAATATTGAAGTGGGGCACGCTAGTGGTAGCGGCTGGCTCGGCATTCAGGGCGGATGCTCTCGGAACGGAGGCATGCTGCGCTTTGGCAACATGCTTTAACTGCTCCTGAAGGTCATCGATTTGGTCCTGAAGGCTAAGGTTCTGAGCCGCTGCCTCATTGATCTTGTCGGCCATCTCCTTCTTGTAGTTCTCGAACTCGGTCCTCAAACTGATGAACCTGGCCTGATCAATTGCAGCCTGATCTTCATATTGCTTCTTTGTGGCAGCTATGGCATTCTTTGCATGTTCAACTGTCTGTGCATAAGAAGCTTCGAATTCACTAGTGATACGTTGCCTTTCCTCTGCAATTTTCTGATCATGCTTTGTGTTTGCCTCTGCCTTTACATCCTCTATTCTTTTGTCATTCGATGCCTGAACCTGATTCAACCTGACCTCCATCTCATCGCCTCGTTTCCTCTCCTCATTGACGGCACTAATGGCCTTACCTTCAATCTCCTGCAGCCTTTGCTCATACTCCTGCTCCTGCATTACGAGTCTACTTGACCATTCGTTTCGAATTGAGTCAACTACTCCATGCATTATCTGAAGGTGCCTCTGTTCAGCTTCCCTCATGACTTGCAGGGTATTCCCACTAGTAATCTGGGACAGGTTGTTTTGTATGAAGGTAAAGTACGCGACAACGGGTTGGAACATTGTTTCGTCATCCATCGGCTCGGGGTTGCCCCCGGCCACATTGGGCACAGCGACAGCCGATGGACCTGACCCTGGAACGGCGAGAGGATGGTCAATTGGGGTCCCCATAGCAAAGTAGTGAGACTACGGCTGATAACCTGTAATTTAACAGGTCAGCCAACAATAGGGTAAAATACCTATAGTGGGACCTAAATGCCGCTCAGCTCTTGGCACTGTTTTGAACCAACGCTACAGAGTAGATCGATGATATATACACTACATGGTTTTACTGCAGGAGTTTTTACAATATATTATCTATTATATATATATATATATCATCTATATTAATAATCTATATACATATATATATATATATGGTGGGGTTCCCAAAATGGAGGATCCCCAAAAGCATGGGTTTTAATACTCAAATAGTTTAATTTTGGATGATTTGGGGGTACCCCCCATTTTAGGAAATCTCTGTATATATATATATATATGTGTATATATATGTGTATATATATACATATATATATATTTATTTATATGATATATATATACACAGTATGCACACATCAACTTTCCAAAACTTATCGTTATTGGAGGGGGGTCACATGTATACGTGTATATATATACATAATGACCCCAAAGAAAATAGTTCAGATTATTTATCACTAATTTATGTGGGATGTTACTTTACAATCTTTTTTGTGGTTGCCAAACAAACTTTGAATAAACTCCAAACCAACCCGTTTCTCAAGGCTAAACCAAGCCCTGAAGAGACCGAAAAAGGGCTGAAACCTTCAATGCAACTTTGGGCGAACATCCCAGAGGCGAATGGTAATATTGTGTTATCAGATAGTGAAGATCAATATGAATCCAATGAACATTAAAATCGTCAAAATCATCAAACATCAATCCCTCTACACATTTCAATGTAAATTGGGGGATTGCTAATGATATTTGTGGCTTCATGAGTCATCATCGTCACCACCTCCCCATGCCGCCGAATGCCGAGGAACATCCAGCCCCTTGGAGAGATCCACCACCTGGTCGCAGGCTTCCGCTTCGGACCACAAGGCTTCCGACTCCAAGACCTCGTTGATGGCCATTTGATGGCCATTTTCAGATGGAAAATGATGATAAATATGTGATAAATCATTGGAATTGGATGGAATTGGTGGGTTCCCCTAAATTTTCAGAACTCATGTCAGTGCGCTTGAAGGAAAAGAAACAGGACATTTATGTCCTATCAATGTTTTTTTGACATCAAACATCGGGTCCGGAAAATTTCCCCAGCAATTCCAGGAAGATCAGGCTGTTCTGAGATCTGATGGCTATTCACTGTTGACCAACGAAAAGTTGGCCCCCAACGGTGAACAGAGACACATCTGAGAGAATGACCAGGAGCAACCTCTAAAGACGACATTTCCTCCAAATGGGTATGGGTCAATACCTATAGATACATTTTTAGTGGGATGAACATCCATTTACCAGCTATTTTGGGGTTCACTAGGTACCAGGGTTTTGACCCATCCCCAAATGGGAAAAATAACAATTGTTTGGCTTCTTACTCTATGAAGAAACGCGAATCTAACCTGTGCCCCACCCTATGCCAAGCCCTCTTCCCAAGCGGCCCAAATAGAGTGGGCCACAAGCTGCTCCAATAAGCCGGTGGCCACTTGCTTCGCTTCTGGAGCAGCTTTGAAAGCTTGTTCCGCCGAATCCAAGATGTCCTGCACTGGACTTTGTTCCATGGGAATCCCCCATAGAACTTTTGTCGGGTAAAAAAATCATCGATTGGTTTCCCAAAATGCTGGCCCTAGTCATCAACTCATTTGCTGGCTAGACTTCTCCTAATTTGTAGGGACTTCCGAACCGTTGTTCTTAAATGTTCTTAATATACCTGGGTTTGTCTGAAAACGGTGGCATACCCCAGAACTGCCAGTTTCACAATGAATGATGAACCAGTGAATTAGAAGGCAACCTATTGGCACACAAACCTATAGTATATCACCCTCCTGCAAACATTGAACATAGATGTGGAAAATTGCACATTGGATCATTTTCCTTGGGAAACCATGGGTTTTCCGCATCTATGCTAGTCTACCCCAGGGTATCTATATTATATATATATATATGGTATCTATAATATATATATATATAACCCATATATATATATAACCCATATATATATAACCCATATATATATATAACCCATATATAACCCATATATATATATATATAACCTACTGTACCACCTTGGATTCTGCTCAACACCGAGCCGGTACGGTAGCCACCGACCCGACGGCACCGTGCCGACCCGACGGCACCGTGGGCCTTGGTCCCAGCCACCAAGTTTTTGCCCTGCCCTGGTTGTTTCAATTTGTCGCGCATCACCTGGCTGACAGGGATCAAATTTGGAAACACGAAAAGCTACCTTGGCATATCTTTGAAGCACCAGAAATAGATCCATTTACAAATAGTTGGATGCATCTATAGAACTTATACAGGGGCGCGAAATTAAGTTGGCAGTTTTATTTTATTTTTTTGCATTGTTTTTTTTTTGGTCGTCCAGGCTCCCTTCCTTGGTTTTTGCAGCCAAAATCTCTCATTTGCACTGTTCATCAATTTTTCCAGTGGCTTCATGATTTTTTTCCGTAGTGTTTATCGAGTTTTCCATGGTTTTCATTGATGTTTCCATGATTTTCATGGAATTTTCCAAGATGTTCATGGATTTTTCCATGGTTTTCGTAAGTTTTTCCATAGTATTCTTCAATTTTCCATGGTTTTCTTCAATTGCTCTATGGTCTTCTTCGATTGTTCCGTGGTTTTCTTCCATTTGTCAATGGATTTTTCTATGTTTTTCTTCAATTTTTGTATGGTGTTCATTCATTTTTTACTGGTTTTCATTCATTGTTCCAAAGTGTTCATTGATTTTTACATTGTTTTCATTGTTTTTTTCCGAAGTGTTCATTGATTTTTGGAGATACATGATGTGCAAACTATAAACTGTAGATGTATAGAGGTATACATGCATGACTAATCATGACTATATGCATATGTAGATCAATGTATTTACAAGTGTAATTAATATATCTGCAGGGTTTGGTTTTAGGGTTTATTTAGGGTTGGTTTATGGTTTATTCTAGATTTGTCTAAGGTCTATTTAGGGTTGGTTTAGAAGCCGCAGAAGCCACCAGGAGCCACCAGGAGCCACAGAAGCCACCAGGAGCCACCAGGAGCCATCGGAGCCACCAGGAGCCAGGACCGTAGAAGCCACAGAAGCCACGAAGCCACAGAAGCCACAGAAGCCACAGAAGCCACAGAAGCCACAGAAGCCACCAGGAGCCAGGACCAAAAAAAAAAATGCCAAAAAAAATACCCCTCCCTTATACAAGGTCAAAGCCAAGAAGATGGCAGGTCCACGAATCACTTGCACAAAATGTAGCATTCCCCAACAAAAAAAATCAGGAATGCGCGTGGATTGAAACCATCATGAAACATCATTCAGAATGTGCAACATTGTAGCACCAATTCACCTGCAATTTTGGTCGTTGACTGCCCAATTTGGGGGGGCATCCACCATCTGCCACGCCTGAATCTTCTTGATAATGGGATCCACAGCCTTCTCCTAGTAGCACTCTGAGTCAAGAGAAACTCCTATCATCTTCTATCCACAAGAAAACTGAATGTGTCAAAATATTCACAAATTGCTGAACAAATCTGAACAGTTCTTTTCTTGACTTCTTTGCCTCTTTAGTGAGTGAGTTCTCGATGCAAAGAGCTGGGCAAAATCACTTGGAGACTGCCCCTGGAGGCTGAAGCTGTGAACAACTTCGTCAACTCGAAACTTGTTTCCACTGCTGGTCGCAAGGTACAAACACATTGGTCGATACAATATGCACATATGCGCACCATGTAATTTTATATATGTAGATGCACCACTACAAGCGGTTCTAGACTTTCTAGACTAGTATTGAGATCAAAGGAAGTTGTGCTGTTTGCTGGTGTGTGCGTGTGTGTGGTCAAGGGTGCGGAATCAACGATCAGTATGATCAGTTAGAAGCTTGCTCTGTGCTATGTCAAAGCAGCTGAGTTCAATCAAGTCAAGACCAGACATGATACAAAAGAAAGCCAAGGTACATGTGTCAGAATTGTATATGAACGTGTCTATATCTGTGGCTTCATCTATCTATCTATATATATATGTACATATATATGTGTGTGTGTTATACACACGCACACATCATCGTCATTATCATTATTGTAATTCAATACTAGTGCTGCTATTATGGTAAAATAACGATGATTACTACTACCAGTAAGTATTACTATGTTATTGTCTGCATATAAGAGTAATATGTATATATCTATATACAAAAGCATAATGTAATGTAATGTAAAGTCATGTAATGTAATGTAATGTAATGCAATGTAATGTCATGTAATGTGTTATGAGTGTGTGCGTGTGTTTGCGTAGGTGTATATGCATGTTATACGATAATGTGTTCTTATTTATGTATATAATATATATATATATATATGTCTGTGTACATACATACATATTCATGACATTAATTTTGATATGTATATATATATAATTTAATATATAATGTAGATATAAAGATGATATCTCAGTTGAGAACGTTTTGGCCAGGGCTCCTGTTGAGACTGAATCTGTTCATTGAGCCTGTCGACGTGGCTTTGCAGCATCTTGCTGGCTTTGGTGGCCCGGACAGCATCCAAATCCTCAGATGTGAACAAAGACCTGGTAGCTGCACAGAAAAACAGCAACAAATAATTTACCTGATTATGTGGGATTATTCTGGATTATGAAATTATGATGGATTATGATGGATTATGATGGATTATGATGGATTATGATGGATTATGATGGATTATGTGGGATTATTCTGGATTATGAAATTATGATGGATTATGATGGATTATGATGGATTATGATGGATTATGATGGATTATGTGGGATTATTCTGGATTATGAAATTATGATGGATTATGATGGATTATGATGGATTATGATGGATTATGATGGATTATGTGGGATTATTCTGGATTATGAAATTATGATGGATTATGATGGATTATGATGGATTATGATGGATTATGATGGATTATGTGGGATTATTCTGGATTATGAAATTATGATGGATTATGATGGATTATGATGGATTATGTGGGATTATTCTGGATTATGAAATTATGATGGATTATGATGGATTATGATGGATTATGATGGATTATGTGGGATTATTCTGGATTATGAAATTATGATGGATTATGATGGATTATGATGGATTATGATGGATTATGATGGATTATGTGGGATTATTCTGGATTATGAAATTATGATGGATTATGATGGATTATGATGGATTATGATGGATTATGTGGGATTATTCTGGATTATGAAATTATGATGGATTATGATGGATTATGTGGGATTATTCTGGATTATGAAATTATGATGGATTATGATGGATTATGATGGATTATGTGGGATTATTCTGGATTATGAAATTATGATGGATTATGATGGATTATGATGGATTATGTGGATTATGATGGATTATGATGGATTATGATGGATTATGATGGATTATGATGGATTATGATGGATTATGATGGATTATGATGGATTATGATGGATTATGATGGATTATGTGGCTGTGTCTAAAAATCGGCGACCTGCAGAAATCCGAATTGGTTTACCATTTTTATGGTAACCCTTCCGCAGATGGCTATTTGGTGGTTACCACCCCATTTTCATCCACTTTCAGACACACCCATGTCAATGCGAAGATGTGCCGTATCCAGGATGACGATCAGTTGGTGCATGATCAACAGGTGGAGCGTTCAATGAACCCTCCGGTCAAAAAATATATAACCAAATGCAACCAAGATGCTTTCCCAACTCGAAAATGAAACGTAATGAAACCATGAATATCCCATGAATATCATGGACTGGCGATGGTTCTGTGGGGTACCCCAAATGGCCATAGGGAAACTGATGATTAACCAGTGTTTTCAGAGACGTACCCTGTTTTTTCAGACGACCCGTGTGGATTTAGAGCTTCTCTGGAGTTTCAGCGGCTTTACCCAGACACCTTGCTGATGTGTCCCAAAGTGCTGGTGCTCTTGCCCTTGCCACGCATGTTTCGGGACCCAAAACGGGACCCATAACAAGGCCCCAACACCACCCGGACCCACTATGTTTCGGTCGGAACCTCCAGTCTGAAATCATGGGTTAAATCCCAACATGCTTGTGGCCCAATCATGTTAATATCATGTCAAATGCCTATGATTTGTGGTTAAATCGCAAATCGTTGATGTTTATTTATATATATATTATTATTTGATGTTTATTTATATATTATATTATATTATATTATATATTATATATTATATTCTCTCTTCTCTCTTCTCTTCTCTTCTCTCTTCTCTTCTCTCTTCTCTTCTCTTCTCTCTTCTCTTCTCTTCTCTCTTCTCTTCTCTTCTCTTCTCTCTTCTTTCCTCTTCTCTCTTCTCTTCTCTTCTCTTCTCTTCTCTTCTCTCTTCTTTTCTCTTCTCTCTTCTCTCTCCTCTTTTCTCTCTTCTCTCTTCTCTCTTCTCTCTTCTCTCTTCTCTCTTTTCTCTTCTCTCTTCTCTTTTCTCTCTTCTCTCTTCTCTTCTCTTCTCTCTTCTCTTCTCTTCTCTTCTCTTCTCTCTTCTTTCCTCTTCTCTCTTCTCTCTTCTCTCTTCTCTTCTCTCTTCTCTCTTCTCTCTTCTCTCTTCTCTCTTCTCTCTTCTCTCTTCTCTCTTCTCTCTCCTCTCTCCTCTCTCCTCTCTCCTCTCTCCTCTCTCCTCTCTTCTCTCTCCTCTCTTCTCTCTTCTCTCTTCTCTCTTCTCTCTTCTCTCTTCTCTCTTCTCTCTTCTCTCTTCTCTCTTCTCTCTTCTCTCTTCTCTCTTCTCCTCTCTTCTCTCTTCTCCTCTCTTCTCTCTTCTCTCTTCTCTCTTCTCTCTTCTCTCTTCTCTCTTCTCTCTTCTCTCTTCTTTCTTCTCTCTTCTCTCTTCTCTCTTCTCTCTTCTCGTCTCTTCTCTTCTCTCTTCCTCTCTCTTCTCTCTTATCTTCTCTCTTCTCTTCGCTTCTCTCTTCTCTTCTCTTCTCTCTTCTCTTCTCTTCTCTTCTCTTCTCTCTTCTCTCTTCTCTCTTCTCTCTCTCTCATCTCTTTCTCTCTCTCTCCCTTCTCTTCTTCTCTCTTCTCTTCTCTTATCTCTCTCTCTTCTCTTTCTCTTCTCTCTTACTTTCTCTCTTCTCTTTCTCCTCTTCTCTTCTCTCTTTCTTCTACCTTCTCTTCTCTCATCTCTTCTCTTTCGCTTCTCTCTTCTCTTTCTCTTTCTCTTCTCATTCTCTTCTCTTCTCTAACACATTCTCTTCTCTACCCCCTCCCCTTCTCTTTTCTTCTCTCTTCTCCTTATCTCTTCTCCTTCTCTTCTCTTCTCTTCTCTTCTCTTCTCCTCCTCTTCTCCTCTCTTCTCCTCTCTTTCTCTTCTCTTGTCTCTTCTCTCTTCTCCTCTCTCCTCCTCCTTCTCTTCTCCTTCCTCCTCTCTTCATCTTTCTTCTCTTCTCATTCTCTTACTCTTATGAGACCAAAGTTTGATTGAAATCCCTTAAAGTGAGTCTTTCAACTACTGCAGTCTGGCATCTGTGGCCACAGCCATGATGCTGTCCAGAGCAGCCTTGTACCTCAGGGGCAATCAGCAAATCGCTGAAACCAAGGGCTCAAGAACCTGCAAACATATCTCCAGGACAGGAAACCGTGAAACCCGCCTGGGTCAATTCCCGCATTTTTGGATGCCATAGAAACTGTAGATGCTCTGAATATGATCAAATACTTCAGGGATGTATCAGCGAAAGTGGATGCCATGTGATGCATAGCAGCCAAGGTAATATCTGATACACAGTATCTATGGCAGTCCCGAAGATATTGATTCATGGAAATCAAAAAAAGTGGCTATCTGGTATGCTCCAAAACCATCAACACACAAATGTGTCTAGAATCATCCTCCCCCCGGAATCAAGTTTCTAACCCGGGACTGTCTGCTTCTTTGAGGGGACATTGGGCACATGGGGACCTCCGTCCGAATCATGGGGCGTTCCCCAAAACAGGAATCAAAGCGTGGCTGAACAACTCCGCCTCTTCGGAGTCAGAAAGCTGAAAATCCATACCGAGAAGACATGAGTTAACAGAGCCATTGTGAGCTCGAAGAATGGCCCCTTGTGAAAACCCGGGTAATCTGATTCTTTAGAGAAAATTCCAAGAGGATCTGGAAAGTTCTAAAACTATAAATAGTGTGGATTGGAAAGATCGACAGATTCACAGATTGACCTGTAGCCTATCCAGGAAGCCGGCTTTTCTCTCGGGAACTCTGAAGCTGGGTGACGCAGCTGCACTAAATACAGGCCAAGCGTCAGGAAAACCTGGTTCTTGGCTTAAAGCTTAAACATGTTCGTAGTTCGCCCCAACCCGGACGTTGCTCCACACTTACAATCGTCATGATCATCATCATCATCATCACCACCACCACATCATCACATCATCACATCATGATCATCATCACATTAAAATTTGCCACCCCCTCTGAACAATATGTTGACTGGGGTAATCACATCAACTTTATCTTCATGAGGGGTCAAAGTTTGCCACCCCCTTTGAACAATATGTTGATTGGGGTAATAACATCAAGTATATCTCCATGAGGGATCAAAATTCGCCACCCCCTATGAAGGATATGTTGGTTGGGGTAATAACATCGACTTTATCTTCATGAGGGATCAAAATTTGATAACCCCCTATAACAATATGTTGATTGGGGTAATAACATGAACTTTATCTTCATAAGGGATCAAAATTCGCCACCCCTCTATGAACAATATGTTGATTGGGGTAATCACATCAACTTTATCTTCATAGCCACCTGAAGTCAGACGCAGCGCAACGTCAGGGTTGCAGCGATGTGCATTTAATTGTATATATTAAATTCATAGCCACCTGCGGCGCAACGTCAGGGTTGCAGCGATGTGCATTTAATTGTATACACAGCCACCTGAAGTCAGACGTGGCGCAACGTCAGGGTTGCAGCGATGTGCATTGAATTGTATATATTTTAAACCACTTCAGCAGTGTTTCAACCCCTCCGTCAATCCCTTTGTACTGGTTGGTGGATGTGGATTTCCACAATGGGTCGTGATAAACCTGGTAAACCAGGTAGTGTGACATCCCTGCAACGAAAAAACAAACCAACCTGGGTTCTTGTCACTGCTTACTTGTGGCGGATTGAACTTAAAAAGTTGGTCTCAAGAAAGTTTGAGCACGTCACTGGAGGACCCCCGGAAGTGATCCTCTTCAGAGTAACTGAAGTAACTGACTTCTGGTCCGGGATTCTTGGCATCGGCAAGAATTTTGGAACTGATACGCTCAGTTTGGCTCACCTCATTCTGTGCATCGAGTTGTCCTCACCACGCGTATCACTCACCTCTTGCCCTCCTCGCCACTTGGACCTGGCGATGAACACTTGGGCGTGCCACTTCCAGGGACAGCGACTGGATGATTCCTGGAGCTTTGGCTGTGGTCGTCATGTCATCCTTGGGCTTCTGATACTTCTGTTCATTGGAGCCATTGGAGCTATTGGAGCTTGATTTCTCCTTGCTTGGCTCTGTAGGCCTCTGCGGTTTCTGCCCCGGCATTCCGTGTTTTGCACGGAAGGATCGCCTACACCCAAAAACTACGTTCGAGCCAAGAAGCCTGGCCATGCATTCGTTTTTGTGACGTGGAAATGGTTCAACATTGGGGTAAGTCTAGGTGTTTGATGGTGTTTGGATCCGCAAAATGAGTTTGCTTGCGTTTAGCACGATTTGACATTACTCACTACTGATACATCACAAAATGGGTGTCAATAACTTCGAGCCATACCATATCATACCATACAGTATCATGACATATCATGACCCAATATATTCCCAAGGTGGGTGAGTTATCTTCCCAAGATGCGTATGCTTGACCGTCTTGACCCATCCCCAGTCGATCATCTCATCGTGACATGGACATTGCTACAGAGATTGCTCAGGAAAACCAACATGGCATTTACGCCAGATGAACACCCCTCCACGTGGCAACCATCTCTGCTCCCCATGTCATGGCTGAGCCGACCTCCCAACTCTGGACCCCGCTGAATCACTCGAGCGACTGGCCGGGACCCTTTTGCAAGAAAGGCAAGTCGATGCGCCCCAACAGGTTGCCTTGGCCAAGGCACGGCAATGGCCACAGCTGGTGGTTTCTTGAAATGCTGTGCGCGGCTGGGCATTTGCTAGAAGCAAGATGAAACTATGATGAACTATGTTTAAAAAAATATATATATAGAAATTATTAAAAATTGAAAAAATGTATTTTGTTTGTTTCGTAACTAAACGCTCGATCTTCGGCAATAACTCCCACCATTGGGTCTGCTGGTATTTAGCGGCTCTTTTCGCTCGTTCTTGACCAAACACTTCTCCTATCACAAGGAGCCGGTCCATGACCGTGCCACCCAAAACTCATGGAATTACATGAAATTACAGTAATCAATTATGGAAAAGTCCTCCTCATGACTCATGACAGGCCAAAATTGGGGTAGAACTCGTTTCTTCCACTGCTTAGCAACTTAAATCCCTGTGCTTTTAGCCGCTTGATTTTTTTCCGGGCGAGTACCAAGGCCGCATCTTTTTTGCTGGTGATTTTTTGGGGGGTTGTTTCTATCCCTGTTTTGTGCTGGTTAAGACCTTTGCTTGTGACATTTTTTTGTTAGTTTGCAGGTGAAGGTCCCCTCTTCGCTTTTTGCTTCAATCTTCATCGCTTTGCTGGTTCTTCTCTTCCCCCTTTTGTTTGGCTCCGCCTCAATCTCCATTCTGTTGATGGAAGATACGAATGTCGTTTGCTGGTTCATCATCATGTTTCATCACTTTTCATCTAAACATAACTATGTACTATGTACAGTATATCATTATATATCTATGTATGATCATTAAATTATAATAGTTCAAGAACATTAATTTAAAAATCATGATAATAGTGATGTTTAACCACCCACCCATCCCAAAATTGCAGCTCAAACCCTGCCTTTTCCGGGTCCCCGGTCCAAGCCACGGAGGATCACGTCGCTGAGCTCCTGGACCTGTTCCAACATGCGCATGTCGCTGGCCGAAGCGAAGATCTCGAAGAGGCTCTGGAGCTCTTTGGCATGGCCAGCCGCCTCTAGAGCGGAACAACCAAGGGCAAAAACAGTGGGAAATGGGTTTGTCTGAAAATAGGGTATATTCCCAATTATAGCCATTTAATAGGGATAATGATCAGCAAAACCATTGGGTTTAGGGGTACACTATTTTCAGACACACCCAAATAGTGGGAAAAATGTGGGAAAAAACAGTGGGGGCACCTTTTTTAATGCTGGGAGGACATGATGAAAAGGCAAAAAAAAATCCAGCGTCCATCCACGGTGAGAAAATCTGTGGGCCCCGGTTGAAAGTTCTAGTAAATTTGGGAAACATATTTTTCAACATATATTTGGGGGGCACATATTTGAAAGCAAGTACCCCTATTTTCAGACACACCCACATTGATGGTTGGCACAGGATTTGGGGGAGGTTCAGCAACGGAAATGGGACTTGAACACCAATGCTTCCTTCTCTGATAATCGGACTTGTCAGCCGAGCGAGCGCATATCCAGCAGGGTCCAGCAATCCGTTCAAGGCCTCCCCTTGATGGAACAAACATGATCAAGAATTACTAAAAACCACCCACACCAACTGCCACCTTTAGGCAGAAGGAAGGACAAATATGAACTGACGAACATGGCTTCAACAGGCAATGGGATTCTATGGATAGAAGCGGGAAGAGAACTGACGCCCACGGGAAGGTCACCCATAAAAATGCTGATGCCACTTCTGGGCACACAATCTGAAGTGATGTACTCACCAAGAAAAGGTGGGATGTCATAAGCACGATTGCTGATTCTGCCATCATACTTGGAAGAGCGCCAATAATGAAATGTGAAAACGACAACTATGATCAACGTATCATGTGAATCCGTTGCAAGCGATGTGGGTTTTAATCTGTCTGGTGGCCAGTCACTTCCGCATGGCACAAACAGCGACCAGCCTCCTGTAGAGAATCGTCATCTGTCTTCAAACCAAGCGCTTTGATTTGCTTCTCCACCGTCTCCAACCTCGGGCATGGAAGCATTTTTCAGTTGGAGTCGAGTCATATCCGCAGCTTTGGATCTCGGGGGTTGTCTCTTGGAATTCCAGAGATGTAAGTGGCTTCACCGCATTCAATCGCTTCAAAAAAAGCCCAGGCCAAAAACTGGTTCCCACTGTTGCGTGAGTCAACATACCCGGACACTGAATCTTTCCAAAGCAAAGGATTCAAACCCAAAAAAATGATAAACATTTTTGAAAAATGTTGAAAGTGCAACCACCCTCGGTGTCCAGATGGAACGTTTGGACATCCAAAGTTTCACGACTGATCCGATAAAAGCATCACTGAGCCTCAGGCCGCTGAGTGGTGTCTTTGTCCAGAGCCGATCCGCAACATCCCATCTTTCGGAGGTCGGAAACTGAGAAGTCAAAAAAATTGGGTGTCTCCTTTATGAGCCAACCACCGCCCTTTTTTTTCCAAAGGTGTTATGATTGTTATGGGTTCAAGGCTCCAAAAGTCAAAGCAAAACTCAAAACATACCTCATACCAGTTCCATCCAGTTCCACATCTGCGTGGCGCCTGAAAGGGCGATTCAGTACTCATTTGTCCCACTGTCTGGAAAGGAGTTGATAAAGAACCCGCTGTGGTGGGATGAATTTGGATTCTACATGCTTGGTGACAGTGATGTGTCATTACCGACGATTGGCACGGCACGTTGAGCCAGATTCTGAGCCGCGCATTGGACGTCCAATCATGGCCTACCTTGGATACCCAGCCTGCACCGAATGTGCTTTTCCTATCACTGTTTCACGGGTGCAAAATCCTGAAAAAAAAATAGATCTGCAATTTATTGTCATCGTCATTATCATCGTGATCAGATTATCGTCATTCTCATCCTTTCCATTGACCATCATTCTCTTTGGTACTATCATCATGACAGCTTCCAGCCCTGGACACCCAATGACCCGCGGGTTCTCCAACGCGCACCAGGCACAGCAGGGCCCAAACGTCACAACGCTCGTTGTCTAACAGATTGGCTTCACACAAGGCCTGTTTCGCAGACAATGTGAGCTACTGACAGATTACTTCTGGAAACTAAGACAAATATGAAATATGTAGTTGATATCATTGGATATTTATGGTGATGATGTAGACAAGCAACCAAGCCGTCAACCAAGAATAAATTTGGAATATTACCTTACCCCCTTTGCAAGTAATGATATAGCATGTGTTGGCCAAATCCGACATCAAAATCGGGGGACATGCCGCGTCCAAGACCGAACAGCTCCTGTTGTTTGTCCAACGAATTGGTACGATCATCCCAAATCCAGACAATACATAACACATATACCCTCTGGTAAACATACAAAAAGCATCAAAAAGCTATTGAAAATGGCCCTAATATAGAAAGAGTTGATGACTACCCAGCCATAAATGGTGCTTTTCCATCGTTCTGTGGCTTTTTCCACCATCCTGGAGGTTTCTGGAACTGGGAACACGCTTTACCACATGAACAGCTTGGTAGTTGAACCACCAACCCCTCCAAATATAAAAGTTAATTGGGATGTCATCCAAATATATTTATATTGGGAATGTCATCATCCAAATATAACTTCGTCAGTTGGGATGATGACATTCCCAATATGATGGGAAAGTCATGAAAAATAAAAACTGTTCCAAACCATTCGGACTGATTTTCGTCGTTTTGTGATAGCAGAAACACTGGTTTTTACAGTGTTTTTCTGTTTTCTGCATGCTTGACGGCTAGCTTCAAAACTTCCAAAAACCTCGTAAATTACGCTGTTTTATGTTACTGTGTGAATGAAAACATCGTAAATACCAGTGTTTTTTGACGTTGGTTAAAAAAACACTGTAAATTACAGTGTTTTTGGCCACCTGACCCTCAAAAACCATGGTATTTGCAGTGGTTTCTGCTTCTCACCGCGCAAAAACACTGTAAATAACAGCAATTTCGCCGTTTTTTCATGTTTTTCGTTATTTTTTGAACTGCATTGGTCCGCTATACATGGCTATCAAATTCTTCGCGTTTTTTTTTTCCGACAATCAGTACTTTCGGATGGTTTTGGTCTCAATGGCAGTTACGAGCGGCTGCCCAACGATGCGGTGCGGGCGGTTGCCGTCGCGAAGCGACGTGAATAAAAACTGTTCCAAACCACCAACCAGTTAAGAATTACTACCCTCCAGTAAATTTGGCCCTTTCCCGGGTCTATGCGTTTTTTCACTGGACGGTACTTGAAAAACTTGAAAACACCAAACTCTACAAAGTGGGTTCCCCAAACGATAGCTAAGTTGTTTTACAACTACAATAACTAGATGGTTTATGATACTTAATCATACTTAATAATATCTTATAACATCTTATAACTATAGTTTTCATATGTTATCCTATGTTTTCCTATGTTTTCATGGGTCTTACGCAACTAAGATCACCTTAGTTAAGGCCGGCCAGGCCTCATAGGAAGGCCCCAGCGCATCCGAGCGAAGCTCCGCATAGGCCACACCACTCCAGGCCTGTGATATCAACATCCAACATTACAAATGTGTGGATGTTATGTTATCTTATGTAATGTCAAGTGCTATCTAGAACATGATGTTTTGTTATGTTATGTGTTGTTATGTTATCTTAGGTTATCTTGTGATGTCTTATGTTATCTTATGTTATCTTATGGTATCGTTATAAATGTATGGATGATATGTGATGTTAACATTATGTGATGTCATGTGATGTTATGTTATGTCATGTTATGTGTTGTGTTGTTATCTGTGTATATAATATACATCCACTTTCCGGGTTAAAGTTTGCGAGGTCTCACAGATGCTTTTCCTTGCCAGTGGTTTTGCCGTTGTTTGGCAAGTCCTCCAACTGCGAACTCGCTCTGATTGGTGTCTGATCTGCTTGATATGGATACATGTCCTGGATAAATATAAAATATCATGAACCAAACAGCAATAGCATGTGAAGACCCCATGAATCATCATCATCATGTGGAAATGGGTCAAAACCTATGACACTCCCGGATCACACTACTTCCTACTAATTAAATCTAATAAAGCCAAACACAAGAATCATCGTTTCAGCGTAACATCCTCACTTTTGAGGGCATGTTTCATGTGCCCATCCTCGGCCGTAGGCTTAAACTGGATGGAACGCAGGAAGGTGTCACGAGCCTGGCTATCGGGACACATTCTGTGGCTTTGATTCGGAGAGGATAACCATGATTCACCAACAAACATGGGGATCTACAATGTGAGGCCCCCCAGTTATAAGTTGGTTTATAAACCCCATTAACTATAGTTATAAGTACCATAAGCCATAGATATTGTACGTAACCATATTTTTTGAGGGGGCGATCCGAAAAAAAAAAACGGATTGCCCTGTGAGAAAATGGATGAACATGGTGATTCACAAGGAGATGTTATGATGTTAGGCCAATTTTCAGACAAAGCCATACGAAACCAGTCAAAATGGTGACTGACTTCGCCGAAAGGTGGAGAAAGACCTTTCGGATCGGCATTCAAAATGGGACAGCTACTGTAGCTACATAAAACACTGGCAATTGTTGACCCGTAAATCTGATGACTTTACACATCTTGGATTTCGGGGAGGCCGCCATGGGATTTCGCCGCAAGTGTGGGGCAAGTCCATGGGGACCCCACCGGGATGGTATTTACTGCAGCGCCCCACCTGCTTCCAACGCTTCTTGACCAGCAGCACAGAGCCTGTGCCAGTAGAGGTACCCAGGACATGGCTGACCATTTGCGCAGTACTGGGGTTGTACCCTCTGGTAATTTAACATAGCTATTGAAAATTGCCATTTATAGTGGATTTTCCCATTAAAAATGGTGATTTTCCATAGTCATGTTAGTTTACCAGAGGGTACTGGGGTTCCTCCCAGTTGCTCCCATCCCAGCTGCCTAGCCGAATGTACAGTGCCGGATCTTCCAAGCCGGAGACCGCCATCTGCAAGGCCTGCAGCTATCAATTCAGAGGTGGCTGGTCTGTCAGGGAAACCCCAAAAAAACCGTCTGGACCTCTGCATTTTATATAGGGAAATGGTACCATATATGAAAAAACTAACCATGTTTTTCTCATGTTTACTAGAGAAAGCAATGGACCAAGGACTTGAATGTGTGCTCGCAGTGACTGCCGTGCCTGAAGAGCTTGGTCGAAGTCTTGGAGTTGCAAGTAGCATTCACCCGCCAACATCCAAGCCTCACCATGCAGCGGCTGGTCGCTGGATCTGACCAGCCTGGTCGAGCAACTGGTTTATAACACTGGATTAAGAAATAGAGGTCCTTTTCTGCATCAGGCCATCCAATTTCTGGACTTGTCTCCCCATTTTTTTTTGTTTTCTATGGTCTTGATTCAGTGTTGATCACCATGTTGTTGATCAAAACATTAAAATTACACTCATTCACCAATATGCAATGAGTGGGTATGGGTCAATACCTATAGATACATTTTTAGTGGGATGAACATCCATAAATCCCAGCTATTTTGATGTGAACTACAGGGGATAGGGTTTTGACCCATCCCCATGTTCTTTTGCTTAAATAAATGCAACGATGGTGAACGACCCATCATGAAATCTGACATCAGTGGCTCACACCTCGTGAGAGGCAGCACCAGTGGCCAAGAAGGGCTCCAAGCCTGGAGCCAGTGCTGAGAAACAAGACTTTCTCCTTCTTCAAATTTATCAATATTATGTATGTATACATATATTATATATATATATACACTGTATATATATATTGTATAAATATATATACATATATATAGATATTGCATAAATATACATATATTTTATACAATATATATATATTGTATATATATATATATATACATTATAGATATATATTGTATATATATATATATTATATATATTGTATATTATATATATATTGTATATTATATATATATTGTATATTATATATATATTGTATATATTATATATATATTGTATATATTATATATATATTGTATATATATTATATATATTGTATATATATATATATTGTATATATTATATATATTGTGTTTATTATATATATATTGTATATATTATATATATTGTAGATATATATATATATATTATATATATTGTATATATATTGTATATATATATATTATATATTGTATATATATATATTATATATATACTGTATATATATATTGTATATATTATATATATATTGTATATTATATATATATTGTATATTATATATATATTGTATATTATATATATATTGTATATATTATATATATATTGTATATTATATATATATTGTATATATATATTATATATATATTGTATATATATATTATATATATTGTATATATATATATTATATATATACTGTATATATATATTGTATATATACTATATATATATATTGTATATATTATATATATATTGTATATATTATATATATATTGTATATTATATATATATATTGTATATATTATATATATATTGTATATTATATATATATATTGTATATATTATATATATATTGTATATATATATTATATACTGTATATATATCTATTGTATATATATTATATATATATTGTATATTATATATATATTGTATATATTATATATATTGTATATATTATATATATATTGTATATATTATATATATTGTATATATATATTATATATATTGTATATATTATATATATATATATTGTATATATATATTGTATATTATATATATATTGTATATTATATATATATATTGTATATTATATATATATATTGTCTATATTTATATTTTATATATATATTGTATATATATATATTATATATATTGTATATATATATATATATTGTATATATATATTGTATATATTGTATATATTATATATATATTGTATATATTATATATATATATATTTTTTGTATATATATATATTATATATATATTATATATATTGTATATATATATTATATATATTGTATATATATATTGTATATATATTATATATATATTGTATATTATATATATTGTATATATTATATATATGTATATATTGTATATATGTTTTATATATATATTATATATATTGTATATATATATATATTGTATATATTATATATATATTGTATATATTATATATATATATTGTATATATTATATATATATTATATATATTATATATATATTATATATATATATTGTATATATATATTATATATATTGTGTATATATATATATTGTATATATATTGTATATATATAGTGTATACATAGTGTATATATATACTGTGTATATATATATTGTAAATATATATTGTATATATATATATATTGTATATATATATCGTATATATATATATATTGTATATATATATTGTATATATATATATTGTATATATATATATATTGTATATATATATTGTGTACATATATATATTGTATACAGTATAATATATACTGTATATATATATTGTATATATATATATTGTATATATATATTGTATATATGTATTGTATATTATATATATATTGTATATATATATATACATTATATATATACATTATGTATTGTATATATATAATGTATATATATATATATTGTATATGTATAATGTATATATATCATGTGTATATATATATAAATATATAATGTATATATATATAATGTGTATATATAATGTATATATAATGTATATATAATGTATATATAATGTATATATAATGTATATATATATATTGTATATATATTGTATATATATATATTGTATATATATTGTATATATATATTGTGTATATATATATACATATATATATATTGTATATATATATATTGTATATATATACATATATATATATATATATATATATAGAATTTTATATATACTGTATATATATATTGTGTATATATATTATATTGTATATATATACATATATATGTATTATATTGTATATATATACAATATAATATATATATATTGTACATATATATATATTGTATATGTGGAATGTGGATACAATAGTAATAATACTGATAGTAATAATGAAATTATATAATGGTATAAATATAGTAACAATGCAATTAAAATAGTAGTGTTTTGGATACCCTCTGGCAATGATCCACATAGCAATATGGAGCATCATCATTATCAATAGCTAAATCATCGCGATAAATCGGCAATGTTCCAGAGCATACCGTTGAATTATACCAGAGGTTATATCCTCCGGTACTCAAGCGTGGCAGTGGAAAATACACCATTTATACATGATTTTCCGATGAAACCCTCTATTTATAGGGGATTTCCAGTTGCTATGTTTGAATTGAAATTCCACCTGTGTTTTGTGTCCAAGAATGCCTTACTGACCTGCATGGCTTGTTCACTGGGAACCCCTCATCAATCAACGGGAAAAGTGACAATCCCATCCACGCTTTCGTCTGCGGAGTGTTCGATCCCGTGAAGGGATGAGAATAGAATTCATATTACCCTCTGGTAAACAGATTTAAACAGCCACAATTTTTAATAGATAAATCAGCTATGTTAAATTACCAGGGTAATTTACGGGGATTAGAATGACTACATGCAATCCAGTAGTCCAGTTACCTATAGGACCTATCATCCCCAGGGATTACCTGGTATTCAAACATGGAGAAAATCAGCCATTTCTAAAGATGATTTTCTAATGAACATCATCCTACATTCAATCGATTTGTAATATTTGTAATCCATCTCAGCCATATCATCTTAGTCATTCACTTCGACTCCCAGCTATAAACCTCCGTGCTGCCCGGGCATGGCCGTTCCCAGCTAGCGCCGCCAAGACTCGAGACAGAGCAGCACGATAGTTGCGGTCCAGGGCCGAAGCCTCACTTCATATCACTTGGCTATTGAAAAAGGCCGTTTATAGTTGATTTTATGTTGATTTACCCATCAAAAAAAGGTGATAATCGCCATGTATATCCATTTATGATCATTTATGATTGATTTATCCATTGAATAAAGCTGATGTTCCACTAATTATGTTAGTTTACCAGAGGGTAACACCCATATCATGTTACATCCCTGTGGCTTCATATGTTGAATCATAGTGATGCTTCGTATTGACAGTCATCGATCCAATCGGTCCAACATCACTTGGAGTCACAGATGTCACAGTATCAAACCAAACCCATCTTGTAATATGGACTTGAGATGACTTGAGAGCTTAGTAATATGATATATAAATATCTGGGTGTGTGTCTGAAAATAGGGGATACCATGGTGTGGTGTACCCCAAAAAAAACCATTGTTAATGGGGAAAGTTATGATTAGCATTGATTAGCCATCAAATGTGGGGGTACGCCATGTTCAGACAAACCCCATGTGGATTGGTTAAGCATCCAGCATTACCATGAATCAAATCGATTATATTCTGTAAGATGATAGGATTTTTATATAATAGCATCTAATCCTACCGCACCCATCCATATCAATCCACATCATGTCACTAACCCTGCATCATATCACAATCCATAACCCTACGACAAGGTCAAAATGCTACACAGCATGAAACATGTTCATCGGTGCCGTGACTGGCAAACACAGAAAACACCGGAGGAGAATGTCCGTTGGATGGTTCCCCTAGATACATCATGGTTGATGGTGTCCTGCAGAAAAAAAGCAGCCCTGGTAGAGTGAATATCCCAAGAACAAATCCAGGAGTGTTTGTAGTGATATGTTCAACCATTTCGGGGCTCACTTGCTTTGGAACCACATGATGATATATGATGATAGACATTATAGATCAAAAATACATGAAACCACCAAGCAATCTTGATGGCTACCGCTGCAAGTGCAGTTGGTACTGCACAGGTCGAATCCCAATTTGCGCAAGCCAAGTCATCCACGTCCCCGTTGTTCTCGGGCTAATCCCCGTCCAAACACGGCCAAATCTTCCATATTTGGGCATGCCAAATCACCTTTTTTGCAGGTCAAAATCCCCATATGTCGGATCATGTCGGTGATTTGTTGCTGATCAAAAATGACAAGTTTACCCCACCCTTTATGCGGTTGGGAAACTAAATTCATAGCGCCAACTCCCCATTTAATAGAGAATATAAATAACCATAGCTCCCAATCGCTCCCTCCTAACCACGGGTTGCCCACCACAATTTCCATCACCCCCCCCAAAAAAAAAATGTGCAGAACCTTAGCATCTACCAGCACCACCACTTCACTGTTGACGGCTTCCTGGCAACCCATTGAAATGGTGATGTTCTATAGCGATGGTGATGTTTACCAGAGGGTAAGAAATGTCAAGTAGATGGGTTCGTTTACCCACCAAAATGCAAAAGGTATAGTCAATTTCTACCAGATATAATATTCAAAATTGAGTACTAAACACCAAATCCTTACAGATAGAATTCTGTCATACCTTCAAAGACAGATAGAATATTCCACGGACCCGGTAAAACAACAAGCCGTACCTATGTAAAGTGCTTCAAAAAAGTGTGTATAGTTAGCCATAAATAGCCACAATGCCTATGTAAAGTGCTTCCACTGAGGGTACAAATATGTCATGAATGTTGCACCATACCTATGTAAAGTGAGGTTGGCAACGTAGCAACTGTAACATCAGCAAAAGGATGATATATCTAGATATATAGATAGACTCTTAGACTCAACCATAAAGCTATATACTATATTATGCATACATATACAAAGATATATATATATATAATCCACCCCGCCCACATAGAATATGCGGTTTACCAATTATGCAGTTGAACTCGAACGCAACTCTACTTAGAATATGCCCCCATTTCGTGCTCATTTGTTTTCTCCCCGTACAGTTTTTGATCTTAGTTTTTGGTTGTAGAAATGCTGTCATGGACATGAATTTGCCGAAAAACTGGGGGGATATCCAAAGATTGCTGTTTCAATGGGGAAAATGATGATAAAGCTTTTGGTTTTGGGGGTTGCTCTATTCTCAGACAAACTCTATATATACATATATATATATATGCGGAATGCAAGGTAGCACAAACAGCAACGAAAGATGCTATGGCTTCCTACACACCCTAAACCAAGCGGTTTCACTGCAATTCCTGTTTTGACCAAGCCAGTGAAGGCTCAAGGCCTATTGATCCCAAAGAGCGGCAGCAGGCCACAACATCCAAGAATGTACCTGGCAAATGGAAATGGGACATGGGAAATTCACACGCCCTCTTGTGGACTTATTGCTGCTGCAAACTTATATTCACAGCTGATTCTCAGCTTTCATGCAACTAGCGCGAACGTTGGAAGCGTCCAGTTCCCTTGTTGCCATCAGTCTCAAGCCATTTGATGCGAAGGAGGAATCTGGCAAAGTCAGTGGCCTGGGTATCACAAGGTGTGTCAACATCCTTGCCATAGGTCTTCACCAACCATTGGAGATATCCTTTGGCTTCAGCGTTGTGCAGTGCTTCGGCAACCAACGTAGAATAGCGATATCCCTGATTCTCATACTTCTTCATAACGATCACGGTCTTCGACCAATCATCCACATCAACACAATCCACTGGCAGAGAAATCTTGGCATTCTGACGGGTATGGACATCCCTGATCACTTGGCTGATGGTGGTCACGTTGGGCTCAACCACGGCAGGCGTAGGAGTCGTGACAGCATCATAGCCACTCGGCAAAGAATTCTCACCACGGCCAACCACACTCCACACAGTTGAACGTGGGCTTTCACCATGAGAACTCTCGATCTCATCCCGAACACGCTTTGCAGCTTCGGACATACCACCAGGCACATCAAAACCTGGGATGTAGTTCTTCAGCCACTGACATGACTGGGGATCTTCGGCAGCTGTACGCTCAAAGATGGGGCGAGCTTGGTTGTTGGCAATCGCCCGAGTGAGCAAACCAACGGTCATCGAAATCTCAACCTCATTCAACTTTGGCGTCTCTGCGGCTTTCTTGGAGATCTTGCGAGGCATCTGGGACATGGCTCTCAGAAATCACGCTAACGGCGTTTGGATCAAAAAACTGTACACACTCAGCAGGCTACTCGGTTCAGCTACCTGGCAAATCTCTAAGTGATAAAGCAACGGAAAAACGGCATTTCTGGATGGCTCCCAGTATCTTCACACTGAGACGCATGCAGTTCTGTACACGAAAAAAAACTCTTTCAGCATATGACTTTGTCAGGCTTACTTATGGTTATGCAAAAGGTTGCTTCTCACGGCTGTTTACCTTGACTGACCTGTTCGGCTCGCTTGTCGCTGGCTTTCTCTTTACTCCCGGACTCCTTACAAACTTTGATCTGATATTTTCCACTCTCCATCAAGTCAAAGAAAGGTTTACTGTCGCTATTGAGTTTTGTGAGAATGTCAGCGGCCATGTACTTATTGTTTATCCAGTATATTTCTATATTTTGACGCAACATGGAGTCTCTGGCAATGGCATATTCTAGTTCTAACTTTTTCTCTTGACTGGTGGATGCACTGCTCAGTTTACTGGAAGCATCATAGAAACCTCTGGAATCCACAACAAGCAAGGCTGGGTGTTTCGGCCTTTGTTTTCGGAATTCTCTGGGTGCAATTCCATACACTGTTTCTGCAAGAAGACCTTGAAAGAACTCTATGGCGTCTAAGGCATTGTTTCCAGCATGTGTTTCTGCGGCTGTTGAGGAACGGACCACACGCTGCAACTTTTTGCTTGCCCAATCCACCAACCACATCGGTGCGGTTTTCCGATCTCTCATCAAGGTATTGGTGAGTCCCAAGAGGTAACCACCCTGCGAATCCCCATTGGCTCTCTTTGCATGGCCGGCATCGGATATACACACTATTCGCCATTGTTCTATGGGAACATTTGAGGGAAACTTCATTACAACTTTTCTTTCTTTCATCTCTCTCAGTGCTTTGTTGTAAAGTTCAACATGGCTTACAGTGGCTTTATCCTGGATACCTTGCAAATAAGAGGCTAAGAATGCTTTGTCAGGACGTGTTGAACCTGCGGCCCATGCCAGCTGTCCAGCACACCTTCGCAGCAAAGAAGGATCACGCACAGGGGTTCCTGAAGACCAAGGAGTCGATGTATGTTTCCTGATTGATCTCGATGGCAAATGTATTGGGGTTCTGACGGATCTCTATTCCAGTGTAACGGATTGTATATGTTCTAAAATCACCAAAGGGAAGGCACTTCCTCAGTTTTTCAAGAACAGCATCCATTTCTGGGGTTCCTCCACCTAGAAGGTCGTCAACATGAACACCACAAACACCAACCAGTTCGTTTTTGGAATTTCTCAGGGAAAACAAACAGCGGTCCAATTGGGATACCTTTAGACCTTGTTGGGCTAACTCTCGGCTCAACCTAAGAAACCAGGCCCGTGGGGCTTCTGCTAGCCCGTAGGCTGCTTTCTCCAAGCGAAACAGGTCCTCGTCGGTGAGGTCCATCCATCTTTTTATTTCAGGGGGCGGTCTGAAGTACAACTGTCTCTCAGAAGGGTCTCCGCTCAGGAATGCGGTTTTGATATCTGCTCCCCAAATTCGCCATTTCTTTGCGGCACAAATTGAAAGAATCAGATTTTTGGACTCCTTTTTGAGGGTTGGACTATCTGTCGCTATTTTTCCTAGTTCAGGATCTTGCCATCCCACTAGTACTAGTCTAGCTTTGGGGGTTTTTGACCTATCATCTGGGTCTGATGATTTTTTCCATACTAAAACCCATCGCGCCCTGATCACCCGTTCTCTGGGAATTCCCCGGGATTTACAGATGGAGGTTACTTTGTTATCTATCCATGACTGCCACTCCTTTTTCATTGCAACCTCAAACCTTTTCTTATCCTCCTCATTCAATTTCCGGAAACTGACCTCAACCCGGCGTTGTTTCGCTGGCTGCTGCACGACGAAGCAATCTTCAATCACTTCCCACAAGCACAACTGTTGTTCAGTGATGTCCTCTGGGCGGACTTCTATAGATACTTCCATGACATCATGCTTACCAGGAACCGGATTATTTTCTTCATGTTCTACAATCAGTTCATCACCATCATCCATTGGCACCGGAACTTCATGAGGCTGCACATCTCTAGGTTCGGGTTCTGCAGGTGGCATTGGATCATTGACTGCGGTTTCATCTTCGGAAGTGATCGGAGGTTGTGATTCAGGAGTTTCAGGCAAAGCTTCTGACTGTACACCAGATTGCGCATCTTGACCGATCTCTGCATCATCAAGGCTGGGTCTTGGCGATTTGGCAGGCGAAGTTGGCTCGTATGAGTATTTTTCAACATCATCGGTTACAGTAACTTGCCTTTTTCTATCGGGTTCTACATTATCATCATCATCGGGTTCTAAAGACCTACTGGATTTTAGGCGGACTACTTGGGGGAGGTCTACATCATCATGTAGTGGCCCTAGTGGCGGTGCGCCCTCTGCCCTTCTTCTCCAATAGTCATCTGACCTGTAGAACCTACGCCTGATCTTTTTGGGACCTTGTTCAAGCTGTGAGTCTTCTACATTCGGCTCTTCCCACAAATCATCCTCAAGTTCATGATCTTCTTCTATGGGTTTGTGTTCTTCTGAAAGATCTTCAAACTGACCTGATTTGGAGGAAACATTTTGTTCAGCTTGCTCCAGCTCGGGATGCAGACGTCCTTCCGACAAAGAACGGGCAAGGCTGCGGAATTCAGCTTTGTCCTCTGGCACTGGTCGAAGTCCCTCTGGGCTGCACCTGTATAAGTAACCATTATGGCTTACCCAAACAAGTCTAGGAACTGGACCCCCGCTTTCGCTTTCTATCCCCACTACTCTACCCGGACCTATCCAAACTCCATGACGTGTTGACAAAAGACCTCTGGCTCTGCGACGGAAGACATAAACCAATTGACCAACTTGGTATGGACCCCGGATGGGTCTTGCTCTGCCGGCGACAGCTCGGCGCCAGATGTCACGTGCATGTTCTTCATGAAATGCTACTGCAGCTTGTTCTCTCAATCGAACTTTATCATGGAAATCAGGATCGGCTAGGTATCGTGAAGCAGTGGTTATGTTGTTTTGTTGTTCAAGGTCTCGCAACATACCAACTTGACGGGAATCCTGACCAAGAAACCATTGTGAGGGGCTAAATCCACAACGTCTCAACTGCTCGTTTCTTGTGGTAGCACACATCTCAATCGTTTCTTCTACACTTCTATTGGTGGTTCTCCACACTTTTTGCGCCATGTTTCTGAGAATCCTATTTGTCACTTCAACCAAACCAAG